ACTTTCTGCATCAGCCTGAGGCTGCCTCAATGACCATAGATTCCGACAACATGTTGCGCTGCTGAGGCTGCCAGTCCATTTGTAAACTCTTGGTTTTGGTCTAAGGAAATCGGAATGCAACGTCGGACCCGCCTATGCAAGGTTGGCATGTCGCTACTCCGTCGACCACACCAAATCAACCTGAAAAGACGTTTGGTTTCGCAGGGTGGGTTCACAATTGGTAAACCTGTGAGCCTCCGAAAGCATCTTACGCGGAGGACATAGATGAAACCATCCATTTCAGAAACCGCATTTGCATAAGACATTCGCAATATTTCTCCCAGTTGGTGTCAAAGGACAATGGTCGTGACAGGTAAACTGTTCTTTTTTATGGTGCTCCCAAAATGCCAAGCCAGCTGTGCCCATGAGGCCCATGAATCTCAACGGCGTTAGCCGGTAACGATTGCCACAGACGGGGGGGCAAGTCTGCTTCCAAGGCGAGCTTCCTGTGTGGACAAGTTCGGATAACAGTTGCGGGCAGGGGAAGCACTTTGGATAAAGAAACCTGGAAATCGGTTGGATCTGACAGCAAACCTGGGAGTTTGCAGAGACCTGGGGTTCCATGTTGTGCGCAACCAAGGTATAGACTGAAAATACATGGGGATTGCCGCCCCGTTTCAGGACAACCCCAACACTGGGGGTTGCTGCGGAAATGTTGCCTCATTTCCTACTCATGCTGCGGCTGTAAAAGGATGCTTTCCTACATATTTCAAGTGACCCAACCACATCCAAACATTACTGGTTTTCGGTAAGTGACGAGACTTGCTTTATGTATGTACACATATACATACCTGAGAACCTCGTCGGGCCATATACATACCTGAAAGTTTCGCCTTTTGGAGTTTATAGGTATGGCTTTGTCTCAAGGGAGACCCCCAGAGTTTGCTAAAGGTTTCCTTGTGCTTTCAATTGAAAACCAGGGCTCCGAGCTGAGCCTTGCGGACATCTCCGCGGCGCGGGGCTTAAAGCTGAAGCAGTCGGTGGTCCAACAGCGCGTTTGGTGTCACGGCTATCCCAGCCAATGATGCCTCTTGATTGGTGGTTGGTTTTGGGGGGGTGCCTCTTGATTGGTGGTTGGTTTTGGGGGGGGTGCCTCTTGATTGGTGGTTGGTTTTGGGGGGGGGTGCCTCTTGATTGGTGGTTGGTTTTGGGGGGGTGCCTCTTGATTGGTGGTTGGTTTTGGGGGGGGTGCCTCTTGATTGGTGGTTGGTTTTGGGGGGGGGTGCCTCTTGATTGGTGGTTGGTCTTGGGGGGGGGTGCCTCTGGATTGGTGGTTGGTTTTGGCGGGGTGCCCTTGATTTGGTGCTTGGTTTTGGGGGGGGCCTCTTGATTGGTGGTTGGTTTTGGGCGGGGGGGCCTCTGGATTGGTGGTTGGTTTTGGGGGGGTGCCCCTGAATTGGTGGTTGGTTTTGGAGGGTGCCTCTTGATTGGTGGTTGGGTTTGGGGGGGTGCCTCTTGATTGGTGGTTGGTTTTGGTTGGTTTGGGGGGGGTACGCCTGAATTGGTGGTTGGTTTGGGGGGGGTACCCCTGAATTGGTTTGGGGGGGGGTACCCCTGAATTGGTGGTTGGTTTGGGGGGGGTGCCCCTGAATTGGCGGTTGGTTTGGGGGGGTCCCTGAATTGGTGGTTGGTTTGGGGGGGGACCCCTGAATTGGTGGTTGGTTTGGGGGGGGTGCCCCTGAATTGGTGGTTGGGTTTGGGGGTGGTACCCCTGAATTGGTGGTTGGTTTGGGGGGGTGCCCCTGAATTGGCGGTTGGTTTGGGGGGGGTATGCCTGAATTGGTGGTTGGTTTGGGGGGGTGCCCCTGCATTGGTGGTTGGTTTGGGGGGGGGTACCCCTGAATTGGTGGTTGGTTTGGGGAGGGACCCCTGAATTGGTGGTTGGTTTGGGAAGCGACCTTTCGACCTTTCGGTCTTCCCATGCTGTCCATGTTTAGTCATGGCCCCAAAAGGTGAACCTTTTATTTCTGGGTCCTTTGGGCAACTTTGTTTTTGTTTAGCGAACCTGTTGCGGCTTTGCGCTTCCTGTTTTCAAGAAACCATGATAGAGCCTGACGAGTCGTGTGTCCTTTGTTTGGTTTGTAGGACAAATTGCGTGAAGAACCAGACGCGCTCTTTTTGAAAGAGCAGCTCAACACCTGCTTGTGCAAAAAACATGCATGGGCCTCCGGGCTTCATGTCCACCAACCGCATAGGTGGTTTCCTACCATGACCGGGGAGTTCATGGAGTCTGCATGCAGCCATGTGTTTTTTTCCTTTTTTCTGGAAAATCAATCGTTGCAGCGCATTGGTGCTTGAAAGGGGGGTTCCTTGAATGGCGCGATTTGGGTGGCTCAAAAACAGCTTTTCTGGGGTACCTTGCTGGTGCTATGGTGCTCAGTAGGGAATGAGAGAATGAACCTGACAATTCCCTTGAAGGAAACCGCTAGTTGGATGTTTTATAGGGACCATTCCCGGATTCCTTGCTTCCCCATTCTTTCCGGGGATCCTTCTTTTTCAGGGAAGCATCAAAAGCCCAGGGGAAACCCTGATATATGGAGAAGTAGACTAATAATCCCCTGGCTCTCAAATGTTGAGATTCCAAGCGGTCACGTTCTTTGCTGGCTTTAACCCTGTTGGTTTTTGATGGACACAGTCATAATTGACTGGTCTCTCATTGTTTGCTGCTCGTGTTTTGTTTTTGTTTTCCCGAGGCAGGAATCCAAAATCAGGTGGTTTGCTTGCTGGTCATCCCCAAAAGGGCTCACAAACAAGGATCTCGGGGAGAGCCAAAAGATGGACATGCAACAGCGCATGTTTTTGTGCCAACTGACCAACCCCCAAAAGGCTTGCTTTTTTGTTGGTTTCACCCAAAGCAGCATAGAACACCGACTGTAAGGTGACCTTCCTTTGCATGTGTTGTGGAACCAAAAGGGATACCCCCAAACCAACAGGAGGTTCCCAGAGGACGACACGCACCCGGCAGGCGAGCTTTGCCCACAAGGCGGCCCGCGACGCTGCCCCGGTGCCTAGAGATGGCTTTAGGGGGAGCTGAATTTGCCCAACCCGCTTCCTGACTTCCTGGACTCGTTTTTTTTTTGGGGGGGGAGAATTGTTTAGTGGTGGACTCCTTTTTTTTGGGAGGGGGGGGAGAACAGTTTAGTGGTAAACAACAAGTTTGGACTGGTTTTGGCCAATCCACTCAGGAAGTGAGCCAACCCTGAGATTTTTTGGGCTTTTGATATATGCGTACACAAATTGATTTGGGTGGGTCGGGCAAAGCTTGTGGTTTGGAGCCCCCGCCCCTTCTTGGCTGAGCGCCGTGCTACCTCCGAGGCTCTTGGCGGCAAAGCCATGTTGAGCAATGCTTGAAGGTCATCGTACCAAGCGGCTTCGGCGCTTTGGGAGGTTGTGTTAACTGGCGATTCCTTTTTTGTTGTAATAATGATAAGCACAACTACAATAGTAACGATGATAGTAATTATGTTCATAAGAATAGTAAAACAAGAACAAAACCAGTTGAACCACGGGGTCCTAACAGGACGTTGCTGTGAAACAGAGAGCAAAGATTTCATTGTTGCTGGCATGTGGTTGTTGTGATACAAAGGGCTAGATATTTACTCACATTCTGTGTGTGTGTGATCCTGGCTTGAGTTGGCTCTAACGTACCCCACTACCCCATGCCAACTATTCAAGCTCTTGTAGTAGTTGTTCCTCTGTTTATTTAGAGGGCAGGTGAAAAGAGCATCTAGTTTGCTCGCAGGGGCCGGGGTTTGGACTCCTTGGTCCTTTGCACACTGCCCAAGGGCCCGCCGGACGAGGACTGGGGAGGGCAGGGAAGAGATCGTTGCATGTCAATCAAATCTGGAAGCAAGCATGGATCCGGGGTATCCCTTACATGAAACTGCAAGATCTATGGGAGCCTTTTCCGCGTTGCCGCGTTGCCCACCGAGAACCAGCGCACAGAAAATCAACCGAACCAACAGCTGACAAAGATGAACAAGGCGCACATGCAGGAAGGGCAACGGAGCAATCAATAAAGCACTTGCCTTTGCAAAGCAAACCGCAGCGGACAAACTAACACACGTCTCTTTGCGCTTGACACGTTTCTCAATAATAAAGCAATAGCACAGAAGAAAAGACGCTTTGATTGACACTTCGTCTTGAAGCGTTTGTTTGGGTTGATGCCAGTCTGCCGTAGTTCCATCCAATCCAGAAAATCACTCCTTTACGGCCGGGTGTTTGTAAGGTTCCTTGGGTCACTTTTAAAGATCCTAATTTGGTCGAGCCCATCTGCAGTGATCTGAGCAATCCATTGCCACTACAGTCTGACACGTCAGTGAAAGACATGGTGGGCTGAGCCCTAAATTTCTCACACACACACATGTCCTTTTGTTGAAACAAGCTTATTTGACCATGCTTTGAATGTAATTGCAGCACAATTTTACCTTGGTGTTTTCGTGGTGTATTTTGACACACAGAAAGAGACATTGTGCAATCTAGTTTACCCGGCGGTTCCCTTGGTTCTGACATCTGTTGGAAGCTGGAAGGAGCATGTTGGAAGATTCAATTCCTTTTCACAAGGCCGGCATCCAATTCCATTGTTGGATTGAGGGTAATGGACAGAGGCCAATTAGCTTGACTGTTTTGTGGAGACGGACGGACAAGTCATGCACCAGTTGGAATGGATGAAGCCCTGTGGAAACTGGGGTAAACCACCTGCCAACATGTGCAGGAGATGTGTCCATTCGCATGTTTTTCCAGGGTCTAGTTTGAAACGGAGATAAGTCTTTCATTGGAACCAAGCAGTAAATGGCAACAATTGAACCACCCAAAGGGCCATAGGGCTGCCCTCATTTTCTTTGGCCACTGGGCAGACGTCGCACACATCAGGCTCAATCAGGCCTTTGATCAGACTGGATGGCAACACATAAGCAGCGTGAGGTAGTTGCAGTGGCACTTCAAGCGTGGACGCATCACATTTTGCGACTCTGATCCGATTTTCTCTAGCGCAAACACCTCCGTCTTCCGGTTTTCGAGCCGGGCACTCAGGAGGAGCATGCCACCTCATGTCTTCTACAGAATGAAACATGATGATCTCAAATTGAGGACATGGACCCCACACAAATGTCGGGCTTCCTGTTGGTTTTGCTTTAGACTGCCACAGGAGGTCAAAACGAACAATAGCACCCCACAAAGACACATCCAATAATATCAGTGATGGTTTATGATTCATTTGGGAGGGACACAGGTGGATTCACTGAATTGGACAAAGCACTAGGGGACCGTGGCTTATAGCTTCTGACATCCTGGGAGGCATCATAGTCGATCGGCGGATGGTGAGATGTCTATTTCGGTCAGGCATTGGGACCGGAGGGTTCCAGCTCTTCGGGTGCTTTAATCCTAACTTAGGCCAAAGCCACTGGCAATTTGGGACCTGTTGCACTTCCCCTGTCTTAAAGACATTCTTGGTCTCTTCGGGGGATTTCACAAGTTCGTCGTTTTCAGGTAAGGACCCCTGTGGTTGCATGACCCGCCCCTTTTTTTGTTGTCCGATCATTGTGAAGCATAGGATTTGACAGAGCAACCTCGCAAAGGTGTTTGCAAAGTTAGCCATGAGATGAGGGGTTGCTTCGTAGAGATGCCTTCCCCAGTTAATTATCCTGTCAGCCTCCATGTGTGTTTGAAAGAGGCACAAGATATGCCCTCCGGTCCAAAGCGCGACGCAAAACCCTCCTAACCTTGGATCCGTCCGTCGAGCCCTGATGTTCAACAGAATTAGAGGGCTTCAATCCCCCAACTTCCCCCCCAAAACAAAAACAAAAACAAACAAACAAACCCCCAAACCCCCAACCCCCAAACCCCCAACCCCCAAACCCCCAAACCCCCAACCCCCAAACCCCCAAACCCCCAACCCCCAAACCCGTCAACCCCCAAACCAAACCCATCCAAACCCATCTAAACCCATCCAAACCCATCCAACCCCCAGACCCCCAAACCCCTCAACCCCTTAACCCCTAAACCAAAACCCCGAAACCAAAACCCCCAAACCCCTCAACCCCCAAACCAAACCCATCCAAGCCCATCCAAACCCATCCAAACCCATCCAAACCCATCCAAACCCATACACACCCATCCAAACCCCTCAACCCCTCAACCCCTCAACCCCTCCACCCCCAAACCAATCCCATCCAAGCCCCCTCAACCCCCAAACCCCTCAACACCCTCAACCCCTCCACCCCCAAACCAATCCCATCCAAGCCCCCCACCCCCCAAAGCACCCCAGCGATGTTGACTTCGCTTTTCCAGCGAGCGAACCTAGGCATCCTGAGCCATGGACCGCAAGGCCTCGATCCCTCATCGGCAGCCGTTTCACTTCCTTGGGTTTTCCTTTGAACCCAAGCCAAAATGTTACCCCTAAGACAAAAACTCACTGAAATATTGTTGTTGTTTTTCCGGGGGGGGGTGACCTGTTCAGCTTGGTTTGAAGGGATACAAAAGGAAACACACAATTGTTGGGCCTTGTATATAGACACATACTCACGCTTTGGCCGGTTGGGTTTGCTGATTCAGAGTTGTGCCTTTACCAACAAACGAAAAAACACAAAGGACAACCAACAAGCAAAAACGCCTGGCTCAGTTTAGACAGGAGTGAAAAGGTTTCGGCATGAGTTTCCATCCAATTTGCTTTGGATGGTGTTAGTGAAAACGGACACGTGGAGACAAACCTATTGAGAGTTGCCAGGCGATGACGTGTGCATTTTGGGGCGTGTGGTTGGCAGAGTGGTAGGGTCCCTGAGGGTACCAGAGCTTCCCAAAGACTCTGTGTGGCTTTCGGGGATCAGCACATGACCACGAACCAAAACGGGCAACTGGTTGCAACTCCTTTCCCGCCAGGGTCACTGGGCAATCGGGTGGAGCAATTGAAACAACTGGGGCGTGGTTCCCTTTTCAGTGGCCGATCTGGCCTGTTTGTGGCAGTTCCATGCGTTAGGCCTGCAATTATCATGGAACCAACAGTTCATCATTAGAGGATATAATCTTCTTTCGGAGTCCCCCCCCTCTCATGGGTTCCGTCTTAATTTGCAGACAAGAGACCTTCAACTGAAGCCCAGTGGATCCCAGGCAAGCCACCAAAGGTACCCCTTCGCCAATTTTGGGGTTTTCTTAGCTTGACAACAAAAACCACGGGGGAAACGGCACATTGTGGGTGCTTCGGATCACAGGTGTTGCTCCCCCTGTTTTTGCTGCTGGCGGCGGGCGAGAACCTGGACGCCTCGCTGTCAAAGGACGACCAGTGCGATGCCACTGGCGCCTCGGCGCGTCCCGAAATCCTCCCAGTGGCACAGTGCATTCCGGGGCCCAGGTTTGTTCGTTTTTTGGTGGGGGAGGGGGGGGTTCCCCTTGGGCTGCCCAGTGGATTCCGTGGACCCGGGTTTCTTTCGTCCTTTTTGGTGGGGGGTTCGTTCCCCCAAACCAACCAAAAAAGGAGGCCGTTCTTGTTTCCTCGTGGCCACCTGGGCATCCGAGTTTTTGGGAAGATCAGGTTAGTGACAAAATTTGGGACTTGTTTGGCCAATCCACTCAGGGAGAACGGAAACGACGTTAGGACAAACCCTGTTGGATTTCTAGGGTGGCTAATTCATCCAGATCTCCAGATGTGCCCTTTGGCATTGCCAGACTTGAGTAACCTTTTGTTGATTGGTTGACCTTTTCGTGTTCCCTCATTTTCCCCTCAGCAAGCAAAACGTATACTTCTTTTATGGGGTCCAAGTGTGGCCCTTTTGTTTGATCCAGCTGTGGGCTAGAGGCTAGGGTTCTGGGGCTCATGGTTCTTCCTACCATGTAAGAATCAAAAGAAATATGTTGGGTAACTCACTGGCAAGTGGGATCCACTGGGACAAATAGAAGCCGCTCTTCGCAGCGCCGTCTCGCAAGTCAGCCTACGACTGCCCCCTGGCCGCTTGGCCAAACGTTGCAAGCGCTGTTTCAACAACCAAGCGACGGTTTCTCTCCCAGTGCATCCCAATTTCTAGTGCAGTGTAGTAGGTAGCCACCAAGTTTCCTTTAGTTGTTTAAGGCTGGTTCCCTAGCTACCTGCTCTGCAGGTAAATGGCGATGGATTTGAATAAACATACTTCTCGAGTATGGTTGGCTAACATAATCCCCGTGTACATGATGTCCACCAGGGTCCCTGATTAAAACTCATACCCAAATGCACATGAGGTTCAGTAGTCGATGGTCCATTCGGAGTCTTGAACACTTCCCACAACACCAGGCCCAAAATGCAACCTGGTACCTTGTGACATTGTACCAACTGACCCCGTTTTGACCTAACCAGGCCCAACAAAAAAACAAACATCCCTTGCACTTCCCACACAAATCCAGGCCTTGACCTCAACTTCTGTAGGGATCCGGGACATGGACGCCAGCGGGACACCGCTCGTCTGAGGCGATTGCGCCCTTCAGGCGCTGCAGACCAAAGGCCTCTCCACCGAGGATGGGGCAGGCGCGGCCATCGCCCGATGCCCGCCTTGCGGAGGCTTTTCCCCAGGTAACTACCAGCTGGTGACCTGGGGAGCGGGTGACCTAAGGAGCTGGGGGGGGTATCCAAACTTGGTTTTTAAAGAGGGAGCGGTTCAGGAGCTACCAGAAATTCTGGAAGGACATGGTAATTCAGTTGCAAGTGCGGGGTGGTTTGCTTTCCGGCTGGTTTTCTTTCGACGGCCATGGTTATGCAGGCTGGAATATGCAGTTAAGCCGGCGTGCACATGCAAGTAAATGGATTGGGCCACACGTTCAATCTTGTGAAATGGAGCACATGTCTTGATATTGAAGCATCGCCAAGGGTCCATTTTGCGTTTGCCATTCCACTCCTAAGGGAGAAATGGAAGGTCAATGAGCAACATGACCCGCCTGAGCAAACGAGTCGGATCCTTCTAGCCACCGCGTTGAATCTAGATCCCAAGCCCAATCTTCCAGGTAACCAGATATGGGTATGGGTCAAAAATTAAAGCAACAGGAATTGGACTGCAGGTTTTTGTCCATGTTGAAACATTTGTCAGGGATCCATTTTGGGGTTACCCTATTTTTGTCCCACAGCCATATGTTAATGTTGAGTTTGACGGGCTGGCTGCCATGGTTGCCCACACCGGTAACACTGGGGGGTTCAATCACAGCGTATACATGGGGTCCAATCATCGCAAAGCAGATTTGAATGAATGTATCATATTTAGAGCCTCCCTTGCCATTTGCATGGAAAACGAGTGAGCACTCACCAAGCAGCAATACTTTTGCACGAAGACCCCTCAAAGTGCAAAAACCAAGAGAGCGATGGGGATGAAGTCATGTTGGCCGTTGCACAATTCATCAAGGGTATTGTCAAGCGTGTGTTTGAAGTCCTTCAAGGTGCGTGGTTAGTTTGAGACAAGATTAATCAACCCTGGTTTCATGCGAAAGGGGTCTATTAGGCCTATCCATTTTTGCTGGAGAAAGGTAGGATATGGTAGGATATGGTAGGATAAGGTAGGATAAGGGGTGTCAGGAGAAAGGCAACCAGGTTGTGTCCGATCCGGGGAAACAACCCATAGGGATCTGGAAGTGGATCTGGAACACGTCGATTTCTGGCAGACCAGAAACGTTTACTAAAAGGTAGGTAGCACTGCATGGACCAACAACTGCACCGCAAGAAAAGGGTGATTCGGGGTCGACATAGTGAGGATGGACAAAATCCACATGGCGCCAGTTGGTAGGCAGTTGTCCCAGCATTCATACGGCTTCATCCAACTGCCCATTGTATGGCGAGCTTTTTTTTCCGAGCTGAATTTTGTCCTTTTCTTGGGGTCCATTCTTCTATTTCTGTGGAGTTTGCAGAGGCAATGTTCAGGTGTATATGTAAGGATCCCTGCTTCTGCCTGTATTTCAGCTGCCCGAGGGTGTCCCGCTGGCCTGGGCCGCAGCGTCGGCGGCACGCCGTGCCGGCCTTGCCCGGAGGGCACCTATAGCGAGGAAGGCCGATCCGGCATAGCTACCCGGGTAGTCTCTCGGAAGAAGGGTCCCGGAAAAGCGTGGAGCTAAATTTGTACATCTGTAGAAAAGTTGTATAATCTGTAAATATAGTGGTAACAGAGGCCCGAACATGCTCGCTTTTGGTCTGAGCTTGTTCTGAGTTGTTTGTGATTGGCATCTCATTCCTTCAGAAGAGTCGAACCCAGCTTGTGTTCTTCAAGGGTTTTAGCCACTTCGCTGAGTATCAAAGTAACCCACCTGGCAACCAATTGTCATTTCGTGGTCCGAAAAGGAAAACACTTTAACTCTCGCATTCAGCCATGCCCGAAAGGGGCATTGAGATGGCCGTGCAAGAATTAGCTACAGAATCTTGACACTGGGCAAATTGTGACAAGCTCACGCATGATGAGGATCCGGTACTGGCGGGTGGCGCATTTTCCAGTTCTTACATTATATATGACATTTTGACCAACGCCCATGCCTGTCACTTGAACAGTTTGCCCACTTCGCCAAAGCCGGGGCAGGAACCCCTGATTGCCACAAATCCATTTGATCTGATTTCGTTTCCCCCAGCCGTTCTGTCTTTGGCCCAGCTCGCGCTGGGCCGCCTTTGCCCGCCAAGCGACCTCTACCACTCTGCCACCGCCTCCGCATGCGCCCATGAGCCAGGCTCGGCGGTGTGCACGCGGTGCACTGCGGGCACCTGGAACGACCGCCGGGGCGCGGGGAAGAAGTCCCTCTGCGAGCCTTGCCCAGTAGGCACCTGGAGCAGCCAGGAGCCGCATCCTCGGAGTCGGAGCGAGTGAGTGAGGCATGCATTCGCCCATTCGCCCAGATCCCAGGTACTGGTTGTCCCGTTCTTTCTTAAATAGAATCACTACGTCGTATGTTTCAACTTCAAAGGAATCCGAGTGGAAGGTTGGGGTGGTTCCTTTTGGAGAAGTGCCTGGTGAGGGGGGGTGGGTTAAGTTTGTTTGTGTTTGTTTACCAGCGGGGTTGGGCGAAGCTCTTTTCACCTTGCAAGGGGGCTGGTGTCCGAATGATTCCAATTTTGCCAAACCCTTGCCAGGGTCAGTGCAAGTACAATAAGCCTTGTAAAATCCCAGGTTAGACCTATGGTGTTTGGCCCGGGAGGGAATTTGTTTCACCGAGGAGTTGATTCCCGGGAGGTTTCTCGGCTTCCTTTACCAATCTCAAGGGGTCGGTCTCTCGAAGTACGCCAGGAGGGCGCCATCTCCCTGCTTGCCTGCATGGAGTGCCCAAAGGCGCGTGGGTCACTCGGGCCAGTTTGCAGGCCCCATTTTTGAGTGGAGGATACATCCCTTCTGTTTAAGACCCTTTCAAGGTTTTCAAGTTTCTTTGATTCTTTCGGCTGCTCCCTTCTTTGTTTCGGCCTTTTTTTGGATCATGTGTTGGGCATAGGTTTTGTGTGGGGATTCTTGGCTGTGCTGGTTGCGGGAAGATCTGCGAGCTGAGGGGACCTTCAGCAACCGCACGGCCCTGGGCTCCCAGAGTTTGTGCGACCGCTGCCCCGGGGGCACTTGGAGCGACGTGGCCGGGGCCTCCTCGGAGAGCGTTTGCGCCTCGGTGGGGAGGATGGTCTGGGCGGCGGGTGGTTGGGGCGGGGCGGGGGGGAAGGGAGCTGGGCAAGGCTGCTGTCTAGGTCTTTTTGCCCCTGCTTGGTTTTCAGCACCTTTTGGGCCAATTCAAAGTGAGTTTGCCGTGCCGGGTGTGATGTTGAAAAGGGAAACATAGGGAGGTTGGGGGGGATTGCGGGGGGGTTGGCGGGATGTCTTTTTTAGTCAGTGCTTAATGTCCTAAGTTAATACCGTGGATGGGCAACCAGTTGGGATGGAACCGCAATAAATACCAACTGGCGATCCACATACGGTTGCCTGTTTGGAGTTAGGTGTTTGACGGGCCGCATTGGTCGTGCAACTTTGATTCTTTGTTTGCGGTGTTCGGGCAGGCCTTTTTGTGTGCGTGTTTGTTTCTTTTGAGGGTACTGTTTGTGTCGTTTTAAACGCACACCTATAGGACAACTACCATTTTTGCAGGTCCCCGCAAACAGACGGGGGCACCATATGCATATACACATATATATATATATATAATATATATATATACACGTATCTGATGGATATGTGTATATCGGCCCCCGAAATGACAATGCGCAAATTGAATCTTTCTGACGGCATGCCGACCTTGTACGCAGAGTTTTGCTTCCTCCTTGGCAGCTGGCAGGTCTCAATTCCTGGCCATTTGGGTGCAACTTTCGTTCGGTTTTCAGGGGATTTCAAAAGGACGTGGCGATTCCCACGCCAGAGGCGAACTTATCCCCTGCGATTTTATAAACCCTTTCTGAGGGGGTTTCCCTTTTTGATCAGTGAATGAATTTGTCCAGGGCTGGTCCGAAAGAGGCATGCTAGAAATTGCGGCCCTTTGCAGCCATTTGTTTTCTGTCCAATGGGGTTCGGAGCAATATTGTTTGCAATGGTTCAGTGCCACCCTCTACTCCCTTTTTGTCTGTTGGCTTCCCCCCTAAACATCGTCAGCCCAGCAGAGGGTTCCATGTTTTTTCGATCTGGATCTCAGTTTCCATTGGGCCATATTTTCTCCTTTTCTGGCGGCTCTCAACAGTGTTGGAATTGTCTGGCCTCCGGATCTAAGGCCAGAAGTGCACTGCGGGTAAGTGGAGTCCCCAAGTGGGCGCCGACCGGGAGTCGGTCTGCGTGCAGTGTCCCATGGGCCGCTTCAACGTCGAGGAGGCCAGATCGGAGGGCCTAATGGCCATGATAAGAGAGAGATCCCTGATTCCCCGTGGATCCCAGTTGCCACGAACCAGTTGTACTTATCTAGGTTCCCTTTTCAGAGAACCCTTTTTAGGGAGCCCTCAAAGGTCACATCCTTTTTTGCTCACCTACTGGCCCAAGAGGGGGGGCCCTCACCTCAAGACTCAAAGAGCAGAAAGTACCGCCAAGTGGCCCAAGAGCGCCAAGCTCCCTGATTTCTACCGTCCGGGTCACTGGTCAGTATTGGAGTTGTCATCTAAGGATCCAAGCACAACCTATACTGAAGCGGTTGCGTGGTTGTGTGGTTGGCGTGGTTGGCGTGGTTGCGTGCGTGCGTGCGTGCGTGCGTGCGTGCGTTCGGTCGGTGGGTGGGTGGGTGGGTGGGTGGGTGGGTGGGTGGGTGGGTGGGTGGGTGGGTGGGTGGGTGGGTGGGTGGGTGGGTGGGTGGGTGGGTGGGTGGGTGTGGGTGTGCGTGCGTGCGTGGCGGGCGTGGCGTGCGTGTATGGCGTGGTGGCGTGGCGCGTGGTGGCGTGCGTGTATGGCGTGGCGTGGCGTGGCGTGGCGTGGCGTGGCGTGGCGTGGCGTGGCGTGGCGTGGCGTGGCGTGGCGTGGCGTGGCGTGGCGTGGCGTGGCGTGGCGTTGCGTGCGTGCGTGTGTGTGTGTGTGTGTGCGCATGTTGAGTCAAAAAGGAAGCCAAAAGGAAAACGACTATTTGTTGGGTTCAAGTGAGCCACCTATATATATATATATATACAAGTGAAGGCTCGGGATGGTCAAAGGCGGAAGTAGCTCTTTCCCTACACCGCTGCTTGCACGGTGCACTTTGGGGTCATTTTATGCCTTGTTTCCGGGGAGAGGGGATGGCCCCGACCCGAGACTCAGTTGGTGGATTGGTGGTTTGGGGATTTGAACCCCTTGCTTAGAGGGTAAATGGAAAACCGGTCCAGGGACACCACCAAACCACCCAGCTCCAAACCAGCCACCCAACACCACCAAACCACCAAACCACCACCACCAATTCGCCGGGAATCCAGGGACACCACCAAACCACCCGGCGCCAAACCACCAAACCCTGAACCCCAAACCACCAAACCCAACCCCAAACCACCAAACCCTGAACCCCAAACCACCAAACCCTGAACCCCAAACCACCAAACCCTGAACCCCAAACCACCAAACCTTTGAACCTTAAAATGCAAAGACTGTGAAATTCTAAAATTACCAATTTTGAAATTTAAACCATTGGAAGTTTTGAAATCTTCGAAAAACTAATAAACTTTGAATTTTAAAACTACATTAAAACTTTGAAATTTAAACCACTAAACCTTTGAAATTTAAAAAATTACTAAAACTTTGAAATTCTAAACCATTAAACTTGAAATTCTAAACCACCAAACTTTGAAATTCTAAAACCACCAAAATTCTAAACTTCTAAAACTATCAAATCCTTAACTTTAATTACTCAACCTTTTGAATTTAAACTATTAAACTTTGAAATTTAAAATTACCAAACTTTGAAATTTAAAACCTACTTAAACTTTGAATCTTTAAACTAATAAACCTTTGAATTTAAATTAATAAACCTTGAATTCCTAAAACTACTAAAACTTTGAATTAAAAACTATCAAACTTAGTTTTAAACTACTAAACTTTTTGAACTCAAAATTATTAAATCTAAATCCCTAAAATTACTAAACTTGAATTTAAACCATTAAACCTTTGAAATTCCTAAAAATTCATTAAACTTTGAACTCAACTACTAAACTTTGAACTTTAAAACTACTAAACCCTGTCTTTAAACCATTAAACTTTGAAATTCCTAAAACCCCTAAACCTTGAACTCTAAAACCAGAAACCCAAAATTTTAAAACTAATAAACCTTGAAATTCTAAAACCATTGTCCCTTAATTCTAAATTATCAAAATTCTGAAATTCCTAAAACTATCAAACCTTAAATTTAAACCACTAAACCCTAAACCCTAAACTACTAAACCTTTAAACTTAAAAAACCATCGTCTTGAACTTTAAACTACTAAACCTTGAACTTAAAATCACTAAACTTGAAATTCCTAAAACTACTTTCAAACTTTTGAAATTCTAAAACCATTAAACCTTGAAATTCCTAAACCACCAAACTTGAAATTAAAAATTACTAAACCTTAGAATTTAAAAAACTACTAAACTTTGAAACTTTAAAACCACTAAATTTTAATTTAAACCACTAAATCCTTTAGAATCCCTAAATTACTAAACCTTGAACCTTAAAACCATCAAAATTTTGAAATTTAAACTACTAAACTTTGAACTTTAAAACTACTAAACCTAATCTTAAAACTATCAAACTTGAACTTTAAAATTACTAAAATTAATTCCTAAACCATTAAACTTTAGAACTTAAACTATCATTAAACCTTGAAATTCTAAATTATCAAACTCTTGAAATTTAAACTATCAAACCTTGAATTCTAAAACTACTGTAAAACTTGAAATTCTAAACCACTAAACCTTTTAACTTTGAATTCATTAAAATTTTGAAATCTTAAACTATTTAAATTTTGAATTTTAAAATTAATAAACCTTTGAACCTTTTTTGTTGGGTGAATTTAATTTAAAATCATTAAAACTTTAATTTTAAAACTACTAAAATTTTGAATTTTAAACTATCAAATTTGACTTAAAATCATCAAACCTTTGAACTTAAAATTAATAAACTTTGAATTAAACCATTAAACTTTGAACTTTAAAACCATTAAACTGAAATTCCCGTTCATTAAACTTTGAAATTCTAAACTACTAAACTTTGAATTAAATCATTAAATTTTGAATTTAAACTATTAAACTTTGAATCTTAAAACTACTAAACTTTGAACCCTAAAACTATCAAAGTTTGAACGAAACTACTAAGTTTTGAAACTTAAAACCATTAAATTTTGAACCTTAAGTCTTAAAAACTTTGAAACCTAAACCCTTAAAGCTGAAATCTTAAAACTACTAAGCTTAGAAATTCCTAAATTAATAAAATCCCTAATTAAACTACTTGGGAAATTTTGAATTTTAAACTATCGAATTTTGACTCCTAAACCATTAAACTCTAATTCTAAACTACTAAATCTTTGAACCTCCAACTATCAAAATCCCTAGCCAAAAGTGGTCCACACTTTGAAATTTTAGCTTTCCATTCGGTTTCGTCTAAAACCATTAAACCTTTTGCCGAGTTCCGTTTCCAACTTTGAAATCCCTAAAACTATCAAACTTTGAGGGTTTTTCACACGACTTCCCCGCCGATCCCGACTAGAGTCGTGGGGCGAACTTTAAAACCACTAAACTTGAATCTTAAAACTATCAAAACCTTGAACTTTAAAACTATCAAACCTTTGAACTTTAAACCATTAAACTTTGAACTTTAAAAACTATTTAAAATGAAATTTAAACTACTAAACTCTTGAAATTTAAACTACTAAACCTTTGAAATTTTAAAACCACTAAATCTTAACTCTAACCATTAAACTTTGAAATTCTAAAACCACTAAACTTTGAATTCTAAAACTAATAAAACTTTGAACTTTAAATTATCAAACTCTTGACTCTAAAATATAAACCTTGAATCCTAAAACCATCAAACTTTGAACTTCCTAAACTACTAAAACCTTGAAACCCCAAAACTATCAAACTCTTGAAATTCTAAACCACCAAACCTTTAAATCCCTAAAAACCACTAAACCTTTGAACTTTAAATTACCAAACTCTTGAAATTCTAAACCACTAAACTTTGAATTTAAAACCACTAAACTTTGAATCAAAATTGCTCAAATCCTTTGAATCCCTAAAGTCACAGAATCCTCTGATGGGTGTTTCTAAATAAACCTTTGAACTCAAACTGAGGTTTGGATAAGGCCTGCAAATTCCATGCTAGAGTTCACGTGGGTGTGCGAAGACCTTAAACCGTGACTCTCCAACTCTCTGCCTTTGCGACTCTCAAACCTTGAAATTTAAACCACCAATCTTCGAGCAACTCTCGTGGGGCGTTCCCTGACAGGAGCGCACTAAAACTTGAATTCCTAAACCATTAAAACTTTGAAATTCTAAACTATCAAACCTTGAACCCTAAAACTACCAAACCTTGAATCCCAAACCATCAAAACCTTGAACCTAAACTACTCAAACCTTGAACCCCCCCAAAACCTGAACCAAACCCTGAACCCCAAACCACCAAACCCTGAACCCCAAACCACCAAACCCTGAACCCCAAACCACCAAACCCTGAACCCCAAACCACCAAACCCTGAACCCCAAACCACCAAACCCGTACCCCAAACCCGTACCCCAAACCCTAAACACGACGGAAGTCCCGCTCCAAGACGGTGGCGGGGCGTCAGGGCGCGGCGGAGCCCACGAAGTGCAAGGCCTGCAAGGCTGGCACCTGGAGCGCCCAGGACGCGAACTTGGCTTCGATGGGACTGGTGTTGTTTTGGTGGTGTGGTTGTATTTTGTTTATTTGTGTTTTTTTGTTTCTGTTCAGCAATGTTCCCCATTTTTGGTTGTCATTTTAACCAAGGTACGTTTAAATGTATGTGTTAACCAACATGTTGGTTGCGAGTTTGTGTTGTTTGTGGCTTGTCTGTGTTGCTTGTGATTGTTGGTGGCGGCGGTGATGCTTCTGTCAGTTGTTTGTGTTGTTTGTTCTTGTTGTTGTTATTGTTGCTGCTGCTGCTGTTGTTGTTGATGATGATGATGTTGATTGTTCTTGTTTGTGTGTTTTTGTCAGCTTGTTGAGTTGTGTTTCACGACTGTCGGCCATTGTCGCTTTGTCGCAGGAGGGCGCCAACACCACCGATGTGTGCACGCCCTGCTCGGCCGGCAGGTGGAGTCCAGCCACAGGCGACGAATGGGTGGTGAGTGGTGGGGTAGTAAGTCGGGGTAGTGGGGGGATCATTTTAAGTCAACTCATGCATTGGAACTTGAACCACGCTTGAAATGAGAGAAACTTCAACAAACCTATGGTTTGAAACCATTTGGTATGTCTTGATATTTGATATAAATCCACATGCAGCAAGTCCCACGGACTTGATTCATGCAGGTTTCCCACATCGAAACGTATGTCTGTGTGTGTCTCTGTTGCGGGTGTTCGTTTTTAGTTAAAAGGCCACGATTTTGCGGGTCTCCCGTTTTGACACATGCCCATTTGGCGGGGATGGATAGGTAGCAATGTGAAATCACCAGTTACAAAGGCAACATCCCGGGTGACCTACCAGAACAATAACCACTCGGGGATTTCATTCACCTTTGTAGACAACCCTGGGAACCACCCTTCAAAAACCTCAAAAGAAAATGGCGAAGTGTTCCCTGGCCACATGAATCGGGTTTAGTGTCCTGTGACCTCGGCTAGGCCCGGAACCACGGCACACACGGCTCGCCCCAGCTTCGGCACCGCTCGCCCCGTCGATCCCTCCGAGTCGCGTCGATCCGCGTCGGTCCGCGTCGCGAGGCGCCACGACGGAGGCGACCTGCGCGGAGTGCTCCCAAGGCACCTGGAACGATGCGAAGGGCTCCTCCACGGTGCGGTCCTGCAACCTGGCGAGCTCTGTCAGCTCATGGCGGGCTCCAAAGAACGGGTTCCAGCTTGCACCGAAGGACAATCATGGCGCGTCTGAAAGGATCCCACCGGTTGTAACCCATACGGGTCACCCGTCTCAGGCAAGAAGTGCGGGCCGGGCACCTACAGCGAGGACATTGCCGCCACCAACGCAAACGTGTGCCTTCCCTGCCCGGAAGGCGGATTCGGATCGACGGATACGTTGAATTGGGACGAACGAAATCCGAACCTTGGCACTTCACCCTGTGGGGGACTCCGGACTATTAATAGGATTCGGATGGCTTGATTAATCCGGGCTTCCCGCGAGTTTTAGCAGGTCTACATGATGGACGCACTTGGCGTGTCACTGTACTGGACCTAGTTGCATGTAGGGAACAAGGACCCCCCTTGAAATTGCATCCACACCCCCTTTAACATCGACTGCCAGAACAAGGGTGCGTGCCTTCTTTTTTCCATAGCCATCATAGCCGTCTTGACTGTGGACTAACATCCCCTGTGTTGTGTTTGCCATGGTAAGGGGTTGCCAGCAAACTTCCAAGGTTGCTGCCCCGAGATGAACTCCGCACTTAGTGAGGGGACAACAAGGGGACCCCGTAAAACAAAAACAAAACCTTTGACTCAGGTCCTCTTTCGCCCCTTAGACACTTGTTCACCGGCCCCGTGGCCATGGTGCTGAAGGACAAGGTGACAACCACAGGGAACCAACAAGCAGCCAAACCTGCAAAAACCGGGGGAAACCCAAAGTAGAAATCGGGGAACTAGCAACAAAGAGACAACCATGGATAAGGTATCTCCACAAGCAACGGCAAAGCCTCTTTGGACAGAACTTCATTTCAATTTAGTTGAAAGGGAATCAACCACAGGTAGAGAGTCCATATCTCCAGTGCCATCGAACTCTCATGGAAAGGAAGGGATGCTATTGTTTTCTTAAAGTGAAGCACCCCTTTTAAAGAGAACATGTCCTTGCTTGCTTCCGTTGGGTAGTCCTTGGTTTGCCTTTGCTTTCGCACCCTTTGGTTTTGCTTGCCAGTTTCCTCTTGGATTTCGTTGCTTCCGTTGGATATGTGTGGTCCTGAAATGTTGCACCAGTTGTCAAAGGCCATTATACTGGAGACACCCCCTTGCCCCCAACCCGGGTCAATCAGCTTAATTACCCTCCCACCAGCATGGAAGTGCACAGGTCCCTTGCCACGGAAAATCGCCTCAGGGCAGTGTGCACTGATGGACAACATCCACGCCGGTCGGCACTCCGTAGGTGGTTTATCCCACTCAGGGTATTATCCATGCCTGCTGGATTTTGTCTGTCCACTGTAGGTGACAAGCTTAAACCCTAATGCATAATGTAGAGGCTACATTCCTTGCCTGCTTTTTGGTTGACGATCGGATCCACTGGAGTGTTTCTCAAAATCGTTGAGTCCTTTCAGGCGGTGAGTGTCCTTTTGGTTTACACTGGCAATCGGAGCTTGAGAGGGTAGCCAGAGGCACCTACCAGCCCATCCTGGCGGCGGGGAACCGCACTTTGTGCATCCCCTGCGCCGCGCGGGACCTTGGGTGGGGCTGGTTGGGGCTGCGGGGTTGGATTGGCTGCCCCAGCTCTTTTGTCGGATTCGCAGCCCTGGAAGCGGGGAGGGTGGGTTGGGTTTCCCGAAGTGTCGACAACCTTCGGTTTGGCGTTTGTAACCTTCTGGTTCAGTGGCTGTTGAGACATCCTCCATGCACCCTGTTCAACCTGGTTGCTCTTAAGTTTCTGGGCTTGCTTCGACTTTTGTTGGGGGGGAAGCGGGTGGGATAGTGACTTGCAGATTGCGGATGTTTCGGCGCAGGCAAACCAACCACAAAACAATATAAATGCCCCTGTGCGACAGAATAGCCTGTCACCAACTGAAGTAGCAACCAGTCTCACTTTTGGCGGGGGGTCGACAGGGCCCTAGTGATCCAAGCCTCGCAGGCTTGGATCAAGGATTTGTCCGTGGAACATGTTCCTTTTCAGGGCCGGTCAAAGCCCAAGATGAAGACTCCTGTCATAGCAGAATCCGTATGTTAACCTGTTGAGTCCACGGGTGTCCGTTTTTGTGCTCTTCTTGCAGGCAGCCCCCCAAGGAGTGCCAACTCCAGTTGATTCGACATCTGTTTGACTCAGCCTGGACCGAGGTGGGGAATTACAGCAAGAGCGTGGGTGTGGCGATGTGCAAGCGCTGCCCTTTCGGCCACGCGGACCAAACATGTCGAGCCCCGCTCCGGGGCCGACCCCTACCGATTCCCTTTGGGTTTTCGGCTCGATTTGCCGTGCGAGGGCGGCTTACACACCTCCTGTTTTGCTAGCTTGAAATGAGTTTCCTTTGGGCGGGCTTCTAACACGGGCCATACTGTGTGTCATAAGGTGTTTGGAAAACAGACCCCGCGAGGAGGCAAGCACACTTCGCAGAGGTTCTGCAAGCAGACCTTGGCCCCTAACGTCGACCCGGGATTCAACCGAATCGGCAAAGTCAGGCCCCTGAGACAGGGTCTAACAAACGGTTTCCGTTCGCCTGCCCGGGTCAAGGCACGTAGCATCCTTTTGTTGCAACCCAGAGAGGCTCATTTAGCGTCACCCAAGTCAATTCACCCAAGTTAGTTCGTGTTCAAAGTGAGGGTTTCTTTCTAAATTGGGACACCCGCCTGGATAATCCGCCAGGGTTTAGCTAAATCCTGAGTTCCATTTCTGTGAATACAAGCATGGATATCGTGTTTGGATTTCCTTGAGCAATCTGAGCTGCAATCTGTGTTCCGCTAGTCAAAGAGGGTCCTCCTTTTTGACATGTTGACCCCAAAAGGGTTCTGGCCAGGTTCCATGTTCATGTAGAAGTGTAAACAGCAGTTGCTGGTGCTGGAACGCTCTTCTTCCACACAACACCAAGGCAAGTCGTTTGTTTTCCACAGGAGCTTCTGAGAAAGTAGACAAAACGACCAGTGTGGCCATCAACGTCAGCTTTGCGCTTTGGGAGCTTGTTCGCACTTACACGAAACAAGCGGGGCAAACTCGACAATGGTCAGATGATGTTTGCCGTCGGTCGACTTCTGTTCAATCAGCCAAAGAGGGTCCCAGATGGTTGCACACCCCCGTGTGCAACTCGAAAAGCCGGAAAATGAGCAGTTGTTCCTTTTGTTGGGCCCAGGGAGCTTCCAGTTGCAAGCGGCGAACTTACAAACCCTGCCCATGCTCCCACTGCTTCCTTGGGGCTTCGGTGTCAGGGGTTCCTTCAAACCGAGGTCAAAAGACGTTTAAGAATGCTCCTGGTAACGCTGGCTTCTGGAAACCCATCGAATTGGGCGGGCCTGAGATTTGTGTGTGTGTGTGTGCAGTTGAACAACTCACCTCCTGAGCTTATTTGTCATCCTTGGTTTCAAAGGGAAATGGCCATCGACTGGTCTCCTCCAAACCTATGTTATATTTCAAGACAGGCTATAAGTATGAAACATAATCTGGAAGTATTGTTTTCCGACTACCCCAGCTGTCGGCCAAATTGTGAGGTTGAGTCAAAGTTACAAGCAGTCTGTATATGATTTTGGAGGGGTATGGGGACAAGCTCTGAATTCTCCACAAACAGGTCCTCACCGAATTTCCCATGGCCCCTAGGCAAACGTACTGAGATGAGGGAAGCTGAGGTATGGCGACCTCCACCCCCCTGCCCTCCCACCAGCCACCCCCACCCCCACCCACCCCCAGCCACCCACCCACCCCCAGCCACCCAGCCACCCAGCCCCAGCTTCTCGCAGGTAGCTACGGGAACTCCTTCGGGCTGACCAGCTGCGTGAAGTGCCCCAAGGGCACCTGGACCCGCGCGCAGGGCTCCATCCGCGCGGACCAGTGCTCCTCCTGGGTGAAGCCCCAGGCGCTTCCGCTTCGACTGGCGGCTGGCGGCTTGTGGGGGGGGGGTTGGGTTGGGTTCAACCAAGAAAGGCCAAGGAGGGGTGGCTTTAGGTTGGCTTCTGGAGGTTCTTGTCAATTTGTTCATGAGACAGCGGGCGCAAGTAGTGGAAGGTCCGAGCGCAAGATCGCATTTTTTGGCTGACTACGTTGGTGGGTCGTTTGGTGTTTTGAAAGGGGGTCTCACCCCCCTTAGCACAGAAATAAAGCAGGGCACGGCTAATGGGTAACGCGGTGCCCCTCCCCAAAGAGGTTCAAGGGGAAAGCAGCACCGGCGACAAGTGGGTTCCCCAAACAAGGCAAGGGTTGATACTCCCCGCCAATCTCTGGGAACCGTAGGTTGGGACTCAACCACCTGTTTGGACGTGGCTTGGCATTGCAATAAGCCACCAAACTGTTTAAACCGTCGCTAGGGTTCAATCGGACCAGGGTCTGGTTCAATCCTGCCTAATGATTGCCTGTTTTTTGTTGGTTTGCGTGCTCAAGTTGCCTTTTGGTGTTTACCTGTGCGGGTGAATTCCATGTTCGGTTCATTTTTGGGGCGTGCCTCGATTTTCCGGGCCCCCCCCCCTTTTGGGCCACACCAGGTATACGTGGCTACAACCTGTATACAATCTATGAGTGTATACTCACTAATGATACGTGACATACTGTGGATGGACGAAATCCGGCACCACCAAGGAAACCCTGCTAGGCTATACTGGTTCCCCGGTAAATAACAGCAAACAATGGTTTTCCATGCTCTCAAAGTGGTGCAGGATTTCGTCCATCCACAGTATTACTATTAGGCTCATAGAGTTTGCCAGCAGGGGCTCGCTGGGATACGTTTGTTCCTTGCCATGCCGTCACACTGAGTCTTCGAGAGTTTATGCCCCTTTTGCAAGGGATCAAACCACAAAGGTACGCGTTTGTTTTTCTTTTCTCGGGAACCCCATGGGTATTTCGTGAAATCTCTTGCGGCACGCCGCCTTTTGCCTTCCGCATCTCACGGGCTCCAGGCAGGGCAGATGGAGGAGGAAAAAGATGCGGAGCCTGAGGAGGACATCAAGGCGTCCTCAGATTCCCGAAAGTCCAAAGGGACTCTACCTCGGAGCCTGTAAAGCTGTTCCATTTTGTGATGTCAAGGTGAACCTTTGAATTATTCCAAGCAAAAGGGAGGTTCTGCTTTTAATGTTTTCTCGCATTTTGTTGGGGCTGCCTTGTTGGTCCATTTTTTTTAATGTCAAGGTGAACCTTTGATTTCTTGCACGCAAGCAACATGTTCTGCTTTTAATGTTTCGCCAAGGGGCAGGTTCCGGGTGCCATTTGGGGCGAGGTCATTAGACCCCTTTCTCTTGGGCTCCACGGAGATATGGTGTTTTCCTTCCAAACATATCCTACCACAAACACATCCTTAGCAAAGAGTTGGTTCTATCCCAGTTCAAATTCATGACAAGTGCTGCTGATACCCTGCGCTTTCAACACGCCGCTGTGGAAAGCTTGCCAGCGGCTTTCTGCCCCATTGACATGTTTCACTTCTGGCTCCTGCTTTCAACTGTGTTTGCATTTTCAGGTACACTCAATAGTACACATACATGGTAAGATGGGTTTGTTTGGTGGTCATCAACCTTTTTTTTCTTGGGGTTTGGGGTAACTCGTGGTTTTGGTACTTTGAGGTCACCTTCCCCAGCTATCCCTGTGAACGGAAGGACTCCTGCACCAGTTGGAATGGAAACCGAGTCATTCCTGGGATAAGTTCCCTGGATTTGTTTTCCATCCACGGGTGTTAGTAGGTCACAAGCGTGGTCGCTAAAACTGCGGAAGTTGTGTGATCGCAAATGGCCGTGTGAAAACCAGGTGACCACCGAGTTCCTCGCAATGTCAATGGAAAACCAAGAGGAGACATGCCTTACCTGCTTTGGCTTGCCTTTCCAATCGGAGCCACTGGGGCAACCGTGCATTGCTTCTCATGGCAGGAGGAGTTTGGAGGATTGACTGGCCAGTGAGGCAGGGTCGATGGAGCACATCGAGCCTCAGAAAGCGGCTGGTTTTGTTTGCGACCAATTTGACTCGCCCCATGGTGAAGATTGCTGCTGTAGATCTTCGGGGTGTATTTCTTGTTGCAGGTTGGTGACTTAGCATCTTTTGCCTCAGGATGAATGAAGGTTGCTTCAGCTTAGGGCTTCATGTATTGTTGCAGTTTAGTCAAGGATGTTTTGCCCCACTATGAAGGTCGCTTGCAGGTTCATCTTGTTTTGGGCGAAGTATAGTTCACCCAGATCGATGGAAGGGCGATACTCACCCCAGCATTCACCGGCTTTCTGGCGGCTCATGCCTTCCTTGGCATCTGCTATTGCAGGTTTTGGCCTATGAATTAGCCGCTGGCACTTGTTTGCCTTGTTTGGAGTTGTCTCAAAATGGGTGATCCCAACAGAAAACAATGGGTGGTTTCAAGGTTTGTGTGATGCTTTGTTCCGACTTTTCGAGGTTCTTTCCCCAGGCCAAAAAACGCCATGCATCATTCGGGGTCGTCTCATGTAGAAGAAATGGTTGGAGCCTCCGGGGGGGTGGGAGTCAGGGGAGTCAGCAAGTGATTCAAACAGTTTGAACCATGCAAGGCTCAAACTCGCTTCTGAAACAACGGCCCATTAGTTCCATTCACCGGGAATAGTTATAAATGAAACTGGACTGTTGATTCATGTTCAACTTTTCTGAACTGGAAGGTCCCTCTCAGCATCAAGACACACCCACCTCAGGCACTTTGCGCCATGAGTGGCCGAATGGTGTTTCTGGCGAGCCGAAGTGCTGACAGAGGCCTTCCGTTTTGATCACACCTTGCATGAGTATTCAGGAGAACCTGGGATTGTTCAAGCCCTGGTTGATGCATTGGAGGTGCCTTATTAGAAAGGAAATCCTCCACTGTTTTGGGAAAATCACCTTATTAGTCTGCCGGGGTGTGATTTGTATGTCTAGAACAGTCGAGAAACACAGTAGAATATGGAGCCACCAATCGCACAGACTGTACTGATGCAGTAATCTAACGGTCAAACGACATATCCCCGGGCAGATGCCCTTGAAATGACCACAACGGCCTAAACAATTACAACATGTACCGCATGGGCACGTTTGTTAGATCTCAAGCGAGATGTACCTGGGAACATGGGGCGCATGAGGGGTATTGGCATCATTTTTACCACATGGGCGAGAGGACCGCAGGTTGTAGTCGAAGTTTCCATTTACCAGGGCAAGCCATTTTGGGGTTACCATATTGTTTGACCCACAGCCACGTCTTTGGACTGGTGTCAGCAAAATGCACCAGATATGACGAAGCCGGCTGGCCTCGGCCTCGGAGAGCGGACACGATTCCTTTGCGCTACAGATTTCCGATGTCCAGTTTGCAACTGATACGCAGCAGCTCCCACCGCCTTCAAAAAGCAAGTGATTGTGTCAGATTTTCAAAAGTAGCTCCCTTTAGGTTGCTCCTTTTTCGGCAAACCGAGAGGACACACACCCGTTTCATGGTTCCCTAAGTTTGGCGCAAAACAATGTACGTGCCTCAAACGGGACGCTTGCGATCATACTGTAATGCTGCTATGGTGGCGAATGAACTGAGAAAATTGGTCGGCCGGGAGCATCGGAGCGCGCTTTCTGGATGGGTTCCTTGCGTCAAATTGGCGAGCGCAGATCGAAGCAGTGACCAGGAGCTCGAGGTTTTGACGGCCGGAAGTCCGCGAGATCCAAAATCGCGTGCCGATTAAAGGCACATGCAAGAGTCGTCTCCCACGCGTTTCATGCAAACGTCGCGTTTCTTCCAATCAGCTGTTGTAATCGGGGGCGTTCCCGTTTCAGGTTCCTGGTAAGCCAAAGTCATAAGCGCGACCGACTGTTTAATGGAATCTTGATCATGATGTTGTAAGAATGATATCAGCAGGCTGTTCCTGAAGTACCCTTGCATTCTTCATAAAGTTCCCGAGGTTGAGGTACAACTATAACATTGGTCAATGCAGATGGATGCTCGAGCTGCTGGCGGATTTTGCTGCACATGCACATGGCAAGTTGGCCAGCTTAGTCCTCCTACTTTTTAAGTTGGCGCCCGCGACCAATGGCTGCGGTTCACAGGGTGTCGTGCAGCTCAATTTGAGTAATCCGCTACTTGTTTCCGCTTTTCCTGGGGGTTGGTTGTAGTGGATACTCCCATTTGCGTTTGGACAGTCGCATCTGAAGCAAAACGTTGACAGGAACTCGGAACATGGATGAGGGTCTATGGCTAAAGTTCCTTTCAGGGCAAGTTTGATGAATCTGCAGAATCTGAAGCTGACATTGATACAGCCCTTCTTCCCACTGGACAACTACAGCTTTAAAGTGGCTTGGAAATGGATCATGGAACCAATTCGGATCCATTTGTTCCGAGGGGCCTCAAGTGATCGGCGCGGGTCCAGACCTTTTCAGAACGGAGAGTCCATTTGAATCGAGCAAATCGACATGGTTCTCTATGTGTCAAATAGAAGGGCCACAAAATTATGGTTTCTTTCCGTTTAGTTTCTCTTTAACCAACCTAAAGAGGGTACCCTCAAAAAGCACAACCCGATTTGCACTGGACACGAGAAAGGTAGTGGACGCTGATATCTAGCTTGTGATACTTCCTTGCTATGGCTGCTGATGGCCAGCCGGATCTGTAGTACCCTTGCGGGCAATTCTGCGAGAGAACATGCGCGGTTGTCATCTAAGAGACTGGGCAGGTGGCTGATTTCCACGGTAAGGAGGAGCGTTCGGCGATTTCAAGTAAGGAGGTGAGCCTGGAAGCCGCGAGAAGAAGATGTTTGCTTCATTTGAGCCAAATCAGACATGTTGATTTCTAAGGCTCAGACCTGCAAAAAAGAGGTTCTGAAAAGAAAACGATTTGCAGAGCAGAACCCCTGTGCATATTGTATGTGTAGGTTTGCTTCTTGTTTGTTCGGTTCCATAGGGTTTTAAAAAACGAAGCTCTGGACAGTGAAAGCAATATTATTATCGGAGAGCCTTGCATTTAGAGAGCAAATAGAAACAAGACTAGAATAGTTTTCATGTTTTCATTTACACGGTTTTGTATATGATCGTAGATGGTGGATCAGCAGGCCAGCCCATGGGGAATGAGTTGTCTCATGTCTCGGACACTTGACGTGCGTGGCCCAGACTTTGTTTTCAACAAGCCGCAAAACCCGGCCCCTTCCACAACGACCTAAGAGGTAGTCTCAAAATAGACATCCCCTGCCTGTTCTCTAGAGCCCGTCAATCAAAGATTTGTTCAGGATGCTCCCAACTTGTGCCTTTCTGGCATCTTTCACATGGTGATTCGGGGGTCACATGTCTACCCAAAAACCTGGCTTTGAAAGGGGGATATGTGGCATGCGACAGGCAACCGTGGGTCGATCCCTAAGCTTCAGACACTCATTCCTCGCCCATGAAGATTCCTGTCTTGGGGATTCCTCCTGGTGGATTATATTCGTTCACGTCGCCTTGCCAAACCTGCCAGGAGCCTGTCAATCCTGAAGATGTACCTCTGTTCGTGTTCATGGCGGCTTGCCTGCACGATGCCCCATGCATGCCTTCGCTTGGGTCACCGTTTGGGTTGTCACCTTGGAGCATGTGCTGACCCAGCCTGGCTTGTGGTGAAACCCAAGTAAACCCCATTTCATTGAAGAGTCAATTTGCAATTAATTTGATAAAAGCAAATAGTACTAACCGACACAGACATTCAAGTTCCTTTTACATATCTTTAATTGATATCCAATGTGGAAAGGAAATCCTTGTTGGATTTTATATCAACATAGGCATTCACATTCAATTATGTCCTTCTTGAATTCTAGCAACTTATGGCTAAATGGTTACTTGAGTCTAGTTTTTTTTTCACCGTTAGATTATAGTTAGCATGGTAATATTAACCATATTTCATGTTTCCGTTTGTTAAGATATATGCATGCAAAAACCATTTTGATTATCACTGAAGATGAAACGTCTACTGGAACTCTGCCCTTTTTAAGCTTCATGTATGTTGTACTAAATACCTAGGTTGCTATCAGATGTCCAAAGGACCCATTTAAATCATCAAGAATCAACCACATCAGATTGAAACATTTCCTTGAACATTCTATCCGAATGTTGATTAGAATTCCATTTGGTATAAGGAGCCTTGAAAGGAGCTTGAGCCATATAAGCGGCATTTCAAGGAGCCTTATAAGGGGCTTATGATGAGCCCTAAAGGAGCATTACGTGAATCTTCGCAAGACATTGTACAAAGAGCTTTTTACGGTGCCTTAGCAGGAGCCCCAACAAGAGCCTTATAGGGAGCCTTGTACGGAGCCTTACAAGGAGCTTTACACAAGGAGCCTTACAAAGAGTCGTTTAAGGAGCTTTATACGGAAGTTTGTACGGAGCTTTGCAAAGGCTTCGTGAGGAGCTTTGTAAGAAGTCTTGTACGCAGCCTCACAAGTGAGCTCCACAAGAAGCTTTGCAAGCAACTTTGTAAGGAGCCTTTTGCGGATCCTTGTCATTAAGCAGCCATTTTCTAAGTAGCCAAGGCGCCTTAAGAAAGTCTTAGAAGCAGCCTCACAAGCTGCCTCATGAGGAGCTTTATTGTAGAGAGCCTTATAAGGAGCTTTACAATGAGCCTTGTGAGGAGCTTCAGCAAGACTTGATAGCCAGGGCTTGAATTGTATTTTTAAATTGAAAACCTGACTCGATGTTCCCCTTATTCTGAACATTTGACATATCTCTCCTTGATTGTTGTTTTGTGATGATGCACTCCAATAACCACAAACAACTGACGAACACCACACCAACAAGAAAAAACACCTCGACACGATATACACGCACACTTCTGAGGACAAGCTTTGGTGTTGCCAAACGGGTTGTTTTCGTGGTTTTCTCCAGGTGGTTTTGCTGTTATTGGTTCTCCCTCAGTCTTTGTTTGGTGTTTTTAGGCGTTATCCCTCCACAAAAGAAGCACGTTGCTTGTTTGCGTTTCCTTCTGGTACTCACAAAACAAGACTTCGAGCTGTTTTTGTTCTGTTCTTATACTTCAGCAGCAGAAAACCATAACAACAAGTGAGTTGTTGTTTTTTTTCTGGCTCCACTCGCCAATAGGCAAACCACGAGT